ACACACACACACAAACAGTGCAAAAAGCCAACATTACTTTCAAACACATTCACTAAAGAAAATTTTGAAATCAGACTATTTAAAAGTCAGGAGAAAGGCTCTCCTGGTTAGGGTACAGTACCCTCTTACAGAGCTGTGTTCTCAGTGTTATTAAATATGGAGTTCATGGGGTGGGTGGGAGCAGTACCTTCATGGAAGCTTCTAAGCAGCTCCTGCCAAGAAACTAGGAGATGAGGGGGAAGGGGCAAGAGGAACGACTTGGGTTCTTGTCCCAGTCCAGTCACTTACTGGCTGTGTGACTTTGAGCCCATCCCTTAAGTTCAGTTGGCCTCTGCTTTCTAATTTTCAAAAAAGGAGATGCTACAACCTACCTCACAGGATGTCTGTGAAGAGTACAGCAATCACAAGAGAGGGTCACTCACATCCAAGCTAATTAATTACCATTACCTCTGTCGACGGGCCAGCTCGTTTCCCATGCCCAGCGCTTACTGCAGTTCCCACAACACCGCTGTTCCCTAGCCTAGGAGTTCCGCACCACCATCTACTTGATATAAACAAGACACCCGTGTCCGGCCAGTGTGGCTCAGCGGTTGAGCATTGACCCATGCACCAAGAGGTCGCTGGTTCGATTCCTAGTCAGGACACATGCCCAGGTTGTGGGCCGATCCCCATTGGGGGGCATGCAGGAGGCGGCCAATCGATGTTCTCTCTCATCGATGTTTCCATCTCTCTCTCCCTCTCCCTTACTCTCTCTCTAAAATCAAAAGACAGTCAACCACTGATACAACAGCACGGGTGCAATTCAGAAGTCTTACGCTAAATGAAAGAAATCTGATGTGAAAGGCCGTATAATTCCATTTATAGAACAGTCTAGAAAAAGCAAAACTATAAACAGAAAATGGCTCAGCAGTTATCAAGGGCTGGGGACAAAGAGAGGGGACTGACCACAACAGGGTAATGAGGGAGCTTTTGGGGATGGCAGAATTGTGGTGATGGCGACAAACACTACTGTACACGTTGGTCAAAATTCAAACTTGACCGTTAAAGGGAGTGAATTTTATACTTAAAGGGGTGAATTTTACTTTATGTAAATTATATCTCAATAGTCCTGAAAAACTTTTTAAAAGGCAATCAATCAATCAATCAATACTCTACCATCTTCTATAATAAGAATATTTTACCCCTCCAAAAGCAGAGCAATGCCATTTCTGAATAAAAAGCAGCCCTTTATAAAGAATAAAGGTGTCTCTGGGAACAATTCCCTTCTTGTTTTTCTCATTTCACTTCTGGATCGGTGAAAACCTCATCGGGAACTGACTGAGACCAGGTCTGAGTTTCAGAAGATTGGACACTATGGGCATCTTTAAAGCCTTTGGCAATTCCAGAGTTCTATGAATCTAGTTGTCCTGCAATTCTCACTAAAGTGAGTTTGAATGATAGCACCATTCCATCTACAAGGTTTTTGTTTTTTTTAAATCCTCACCCAAGGATACTTCTCCATTTATCTTCAGATAGACTGGGAAGGAGGAAGAGAGGGAGGGAGGGTGGCAGAGAAAGAGAGCGAGAGAGAAACATCAATGCGAGAGAGACATATCGACTGGTTGCCTCCTGCACAACTCCAACCAAGGCTGCACCACCCCAACCAGGTACCTGCCCTTGACTGGAATTGAACCCGCGACTCTTTGGTCCAAGGGCCGTCGCTCTAACCGCGGAGCCAAACCAGTCAGGGCCATCTACAAGTCTTTATAAGGTACAATTCAAAGCAGCTGCAGGGAGAATATCCACTACAGTCTACTCCAGAGAGGGAATGAGGACGAGCAGAGAGAAGCTTTAGCATAAATTCCTAACAGACATGACGCCAGGTAAGTAGCCATCCCACAGTTAACTAGAGATCAAGTTTTATGAATACGCTTTAAGCCTAACTTCATTTTCACTACTAACTTGGCTTAAGCAGCCTTCAGAATGCTTCTGCTGAATAACAAGGTCTGTCCACAATTCTAACAGTATTGATCACAATAGCTTGTTATAAATAAATGGTGCCCTGGCCGGTTTGGCTCAGCGGTTAGAGCATCGGCCCGCAGAACAAGTCGCAGGTTTGATTCCCAGTAAAGGGCACATCCCTTGGTTGCACATCCTTGGCCCGTGTTGGGTCATGTGGGAGGCAACCAGTCGATGTGACTCTATCACATCGATGTTTCTGTCTGTTTCTCTCTCTCTCTCTCTCTCTCTCTTTCTATCTCTCTCCCTCCCACTCTAATGATAAATGGAAAAATATCCTCAGGTGAGAAATAGAGATAAAAAAATTTTAAAAATGAATGGTGGTAGCACCTCCACTTCTCAAAGAAGGAATCCTATAGGCCCTAACAGCTAAAGTATTATTTATTTTGGTTCTAATATTAATAGATTAATCGTATTCTACACAGAAATGTATCAGGAAATCAAACTCTCCTCCAGAGAATCTTCAAATACTCTTATTTCTTTAAATCCCCCTATTTCTTACTGCCATTTGGATGGATATATTTATTTCTCCTTGTCTCCAATGATTCATTAAAATACTAATGCACTTAATGGTTGTCCCTACCTGAACTCTGACACTCAAAATAGATTCCAGATGAATCAATGATTTATACGTGATAATTAAACTATAAATTCACCGAAAGAATGTTTTCATAATTTTGAGCAGAGAAGCCCCTTTCTATACATGATACAAAACCACAAGTCAAATATGAAAATAAATTTGACCATAAAAAATTAAATATTCCACATAGCAAAAATATGTATTCAAAGTCAAAATACAAATGACCTACTAGGAAAAAAACATCTACAATCCAAATGACAGTTAAAGGACAAATATTCTTAATACACATACAGCTACTACAAACCAAGAAGGAAAAGATAAATCCAACAGGAAAATGGTTAAAAATAGAAAGTGGCAGTTCACATAAAAGAAATATAGGTGGCCCCACTCATGATTTCAGAGAATGAAAATAATGGGGGATCCATTTTTTACCTGTGAGACTATCAAAAACTCAAAGTAAGAGCCACAGTCATGTGGGGAGACAGAAAATTGATGGGAGGGCAAATCAGGGCAACATTGTTAGAAGACAATTTAGCAATGTCTATGAAAATCTAGAAGACACATTATATGACCCAATAATTCCACTGGTATAAATTCATACAAATACACAGAGAGATACAAAAGGAAATATGTACAAAGATGCTGATTACAGTATTATGTATAACAACAACAAAAACCCGAAATGTTTATCAGCAGAGTGCTTAAATAAAGTACTGATGTCCAAAATGAGTGCAACAGATCTGTATGTCTAATAGGGAAAGAATCTCCAAAATATATTAATAAGTTGAGGGGGGGGGGGCAGGAGGAAAAACAGCATACATAATATGATCCCATTTGTATAAAAATAGATCTGCCCTGGCCCATTCGGCTCAAAGGTTAGAGCGTCGGCCCGTGGACCAGAGACCTGGGTTCAGTTCCCACTAAGGGCACGTACCTCAGTTGCAGTTTGTCCTGGCCCCAGTTGGGGTCGTGTGGATGGCCACCAGTCGGCGTGTCTCTCTCACATCGATGTTTTTCTCTCTCTCTTCCTCCCTCTCTCCCTCCCACTCTATCTGAAGATAAATGTAAAAATGTCCTTGGGTGAGGATAAAAAAAAAAAGAGATCTAGATAAAGATACAGATATATATACATGCACACTAACACACACCTTAGCTTACTAGAATGACATACAAGATCAATAAAGAGGGGGAGGATGGGGGACAGCTGTAATACTTTCAACAATAAAGATAAATTTAACAAGAAGGCAAATTAAGAGCAGTCATCTCTGAAGATTATACACGGCAATAGTGGTGATATGTCCTTTTTATTTCATTCCCTTCTGTTCTGTTCTATAAAAAGTAAAAGGATACATATAAAAAACTGTAACTGTCCTGCCTACCTATTTATAACATAGTGATGAAATGTCCAGAACTCCTACTATATTTCCTGGAAAGTAAAGGAGGCCGGAGGGGAAGAGGCTCTGAATGACCCAGATTCTACCTGGGGCAACTCAAGAAGGGCATTCGGCTGAGTGCGACCGTAGGAAACAGGATAAGGAAAAGAAGATGTCTCTAGGGGGGGAATAAATGAACAAAATCCGGTGAAGAAATCATTTCAGGTTGTATTTGGAGGCAGAACAGGGAGGTCTAAAGTAAGCAAGACATTTCCCAGGCCCCTGAACAAGACAGCAGGCAGGTTACAGTAAATGGAATCATCAGAAATTTCAAGTGTGGCTCTTTCTAGCTGATGCATGGAACATAGAAAAAGACCGCAATTAGTTCAACTAAATCTGCACTAGTGACATAAAAGGGATAGGCCTTTGAACAACACAAGTAATCTTGACTGCCCCGACCAAATCCATTCTGCAGTGATTTCCTCTATTTTAAGGATTGGAAATCCTCTGAATAAGCCATGAAAAATGCCAGCCTCCTATCTCCCTCACGTCTGCTCCAAGATCTCACACAAATCCCGAGGAGGAAATAACTCCTACCTGGCTGCCACATCACCCGAGAACATTTTTACGCACTTAGAATGCAGCAGCTCTTGGCTGAGAAAGTAATCAATTTGGGGTCTGGGTTTTACTTAAGGATCAGCGACAGCCAGATCAGGAACAGTAAATCTGACTACCCTGCCTCCACACCATGAAATCAGCCACGCAGCTTCTCCATCGGCCAATTAATGGCTGCCGAAATTGACAACATGGAAAGCGACAGAAGTGTCTTTCCAGGATCAGTTCCAATCGGGTGTCAGCAGGCAGATCCTGCTGCTCTTCTCCTGGCTTTAAAGGCAGAGGTAGCAGGACAAATAGGAATTGCACTACGATGGATCGCTTGAAAACAAATAAAACGTGAAGAACAGCTTCCCCACAGAAACAGATACTTGGGCGAAAGGGCAGCCCATCCAGGTCATCGGAAGGCCGCCTTGCTCCCCGCGGTTACTCACCTTAGAATTGGTTTCCATGTGGTATTTGGCACAAGCGCGAAGCTGAGTCACCCAAAGCTGTTTCTCTTTTGCATCAGCAGCTAAAATAGAGAAAGAAATGCTTACAGAGACTGTTCCAATGCACAGCCAACCCATTTCTGCACCCACCTAAGCCGGGGCGGGGGGAGGGGGGAGCATGAGGGGTAGAGGGAAAAGGAAGGAAAAGCAAATACAGATCTCAATATTCAGTAAGTAGCCTGTACTTACGCCCAAAAAACAAATTACACGAAATTTCAGAGAGAATTCCCTCTTACCCCACATTAAAAATGTATTCTGAGATAGCTGTTATAAGAACAATTTTGCCATTTTTTAACCTTCTCTGAAAAAGTCATTTTTGCTTCTTTAAAAAGGCAGCAAGGGAGGAAAAACATGATTATTTTTTCAATGCCTCTGGCATGTTCGGCTAATACGAGGATCAAAGTCAGCTTTTCAGGGCCTTTGTGTTATCTACCAGAGTTGTACTGTGGGGTTATTAGCATGTACAAAATAAGCATTCAGTTGAATTACCACTTTAATATGTGTTCTCAAGGATTCATATTCGGATTGGACAGAACAAGATACCAAATGCTGCCTTAGAGATCCTCAGATTTCCCCCAAAGAGACATTCAAGTACCAGTCAACTGCATCATCATAACTTTCCATCTACACCCCCATCTCTCAAGCACATACAATTATTTCCTTAAAATATTATGGAGCCCTGGCCGGTTTGGCTCAGCGGTTAGAGTGTCGGCCCACGGACCAATGAGCAGTGGGTTCTATTTTGGCCAAGGGCACGTACCTCTGTTGTGGTTAGTCCCTGGCCCTGGTCAGGTCCTGCGGGAGGCAACCAGTCAATGCGGCTCCATCACATTAATTAATGTTTCTTTTTGTCTCTCTCTCTCTCTTTCTCTCTCCCTCCCTCCCTCCCACTCTATCTGATGATAAACAGAAAAGTATCCTTGGGTGAGGAATAAATATATATATATATATATATATATATATATATATATATATATGACATAGATACAGCCCGACTGGTGTGGCTCAGTGGTTGAGTATTGACCCATGCACCCAGAGGTTGCCAGTTCAATTCCCATTCAGGGCTCCTGCCCAGGTTGTAGGCCCGATCCCCAGTGGGGGGTATGCAATAGGAGGCCAATCCATGTTCTTTCTATCTCTCCCCTTTCCCTTCCTCTATCTCTAAAATCAATAAAGAAAAATAAAAAATATATATATCATAAATGACAGGTTCTAATAAAATTTAAATCCTTAATGTAAGTAAACAATTAACTACGTAAATATTTTAATATATTAATTGCACAAATATCAACTATGCAGAAAACAGAACATTTCTCCTAAAAATTATAATTGTTTAAAAAAATGGGCCTAAGTATCATTTGCCAATAAAAGCCAACTTCAGGTTAAATTTGCAGGTGAAGAAATCTAGAGTTGTAGACCAGTGTAAGAGCAGGTGAATTTAACTTTCTAAAGACAAAGGATTTTGCAAAAACCAGAGCCTTTGTTCCTTAGGAAACGTGAAGAATTAATTGTCAGTTTGTGGCAGTCCTGTCCAAAGGCTCAGCACTAAAAACATTCCCCAGAGCTGTGCACCCTCTCTATGTAGGTGAGATGAGCGAAACAGACATGCAGATCCTTGTGGGATGGGCCAAGAACCAGCCATAAATATGCAGAAATGTATCCTGTCTTTTCTGTAGCTGCCAAGTTTAAGTTAATTTAGCCTTCGTGATAATTTCATGCAGATAATAAAACTCTTATATTTGCTATTAAAATGACCCTTTAAAAAAAAAAAAAAAAAAAACCCTGTGGTTTAATAATCCAGAGAATAATAACTCAAAGGCAAAATGAGATAGTTCAATTGCCAACTTTGTTGGATTTTTCTCATTTGTATGGGTTTGCGTCCTTTTATAAACCACAGGCAGGGGGGCGGGGGAAGTGACATTAAGTCTTTCCCCTGCTATTGTTTCTGCTCTAACAATTTATTAAGCAATAAACATCAAAGCAAAACCAAGGACCATATAAATCTAGCCAGTTGGGAAGCACACTGCACGAATCTCAAAAAAGAACATGAATCTTATTAAGCCCACTTCCCCAAAACTGAAAAACTTTCTTCAACTACAGACATTTTTATTTCACAGGTTTTTGAACTGTTTTATGGATTCTGAAATATGATTTGAATATAAATAATTAAGAACCATTGGCTTATTCCATCTCTCGGTAATTAAGCTTGGTGGCTGAACAGTGAAATGAACTGACCGAGGAGTGACTCAGTCTAAGCTTTGCAGAGGCGACCTACCCTGCTCAGTTCCGGCTCAAGGAGAAATAATAAAAGGCCATTTCTTTGTACTGAGCCCCTACTTGGGCAAAGAAACATGTCATAATAATGCAGAATTACCAACTACCTGCTAATACTTAATATATACTACTTTCCTCAGACCTTAATAAATAACGTTGACTCTGTGTGTATGTGTATACATATGGATTTTTGTTTGCTTCTGTTGTTGCGTTTTGTTCTTTCATTACAAGAATACTGACCATTTTTCTGGGAATGCGTCTGTAACAATGCTAGAAGAATGATCTAGCAATCAAATTATACTGCTACAGTCAAACCTGGCATTCCTGAAAACCTGTGCAACGCCTGTGCCTTGGGGGGGCGGGGGGGGGCGGACCCACAGTGATGGCCCAGGGCTGGACTCTCTCGCGTTGTGCTCACTGATCAGAATGCTGAGCACACATCAGTTTTCAAGGATCAAAGAGAAGGGGAAAGAGCACACACAGGAAATTAACTCAATACCAGCTGGCTTCTCACCAGGTCACAACAGATTCAATAAAATGTAAGTGAAGGGGCCCTTTACTAAGAAATATTCTAGAGAAACTTGGTGGGAGGGCACAATGACACTTAAAAGGCTTGTGTTGTCCTTAGAGCCCAGAGTGACCAGAGGGCACTACAGTGGAGATTCACAGCAGGGGTGGGAACCTTTCTTCTGCCAAGGGCCATTCGGGGATTTATAACACAATTCGCAGGCCATACAAAATCATCAACTTAAAAATTAGCCTGCTGTATTTGGTCAGGCTAATTTGGAGAGGCGTGTGATGTTAGCTGGTATTGATTTTGCAAGCCTTATGCGGCCCACAGGCCGGACGTTCCCCATCTCTGTGGGGAAGGTCAAAGAAAATATATACTGAGCTGATATGAAAAATATTCCCAAGTCCTAGAGCTCCGCTGGCTTTGCAATCACTCACCTGTCCTTTGTCCTGAATTCCTCAATTAGGACAAGCAATTCCTAACATCAGGTCATCTCCCCACCCCAGGGGTAAGAGAAGCAGCAACCATCTGTCAACACCAAGTCATCAAACATAGCAAATTGTCAAAGTTGATTTTTTTTTAATCAAAAACAAGAGAGCCATCACCATGGTAACTGTGCCTGTCGCCCACGAGGCCTGTCTGAAACGCTAGCAGGAGAAGCCCGTACCTCTCAGCTTATACATCTCTCCGGCAGCAGAGTACACGACCAGCATGTGGGGGGCTTCGTCGCTCAGGGACACGATGGCCCCAGATAAAGACAGGACTCCTCGAGGCTTCTGGTGCTTGCTTTGCTCATTCACAAAATACTGCAGGATGCCAGCCTCAAAGTCCAGCACAAAGTACCTGTGCAGAGAAACCACAGTGCATCACTTTTCTCCCCAGCCCATTCCTCACAGCAAAGAAGAAAGGGGATCCTCAAATGGACAGCAAGGCTCCAGATCCAGGAAGCTGGAAGCCAAAAGTGCCCACTAGGGGACCTCAGAAGCCAGCCCCCAAGTTGGGAGAGAGCACTTGATTCCTAAGTCAGAATGGAGCTTGTGACGGGCACTGCAGGGCCATTCAGGTGCAATGCCCACCACCTCGCCTGGTGCCTATGAGCCTCAGAACAGCCAAAACACAGCAGGTGCCTTGGGACACGGGCTATTAACATGTTCCACGCGACTTCACGGGAACAGCTGGAATTCTCTAGCCTCTGCGAGAGGCCCTTTTACACCCTGATAGCAGCAAGCTGGGCCCTGAGCTTCCTGCCGGCAGCACCGGTGCCGTGAGGAACCCAGCTGCTGGGGTCACCTGTCAGGGAATGGGAGGTGCTTATACAACCACCTGGGCACAGTCCAGCGGGCCTTTCTTGAAATCCTTTTTTATACAAAGAGGTGATTATTTCCTCCACTCTGGGAGGCCGCAATGTCATTGGGTTCCACATCCAGGATTTAAAAAAAAAAAATGAGGGGGGTGGACAACTGCAAGTTGCCTTAAGTTGCTCAAACAAATCTTCGTAGCCAAATATCTGGCCTATTTATACTCTCAAGCTGTACCCTCAGAAGTAGTTAGGACAACTTCCCCTTCTCCACCAGGATGGAAATGTCTGCACCTGAGACTCAGATCCCTCCTGTGACCCAGATGCCCAGCACAGCCCCTGCTGACTTTTCTACCTTCTCCCTTTCCTAGTCACCAGCTGCCTCCCACCACAGGACCTTTGCTCATGCTGTCCCCCTGGCCTGGAGCAGTTACTCAAAGTGTGGTACACAAATGTTCATGGTTCCCAAAATGTTCCTAGTCCGTGACAGCTTTTTGAAACTTTTCCTGCAATGTGGCTTTGCTTCAGCATCCAACTGCATGATGAATGGGTTAGTCTCATAAAACAGTCCAGATGCTACCTAACACATGTGGCACACTAAGCCAACTGCGAGTCATGAAGCAACCACAGTGCACTTGGGGGGGGGGGGGAGGATAGCAAGTCCTTCACCATGGTTTGAGAAACACCTGCCCAGAAAGCTATCCCCGCCCCCAAAGCCTAGAACCTGGTCCCTCCCCTTTTCGTCATGTTAACTTCTCAGCCTTCGGGAAGAACTCAGGTACCATCCACTTGAGAAATCTCCTGATCAGGTCCAATATTCCTCTCACAAGCTCTCACGGCACCTTAAAATGGTCCTTCCTGGCCCTGGCCCCACCAGGAGTCTATCTTTGCAGGATTATCTGATCCAATGTCTAGTTTCCCTGATAGACTCTACACTGCTTGAAGGCGGAACTGTGTGTGTGTGTGTCATCTCCCACCCGGTGCCCAGCACAGTGCCTGCCGCGTCGGTGCTACTCAGTTAACATTTCTTCAATGAATGAATGAAGGGGAAAAACTACTAAATTCTACAATGCTTAATCCGTTCACCAAAGTACGTGGGAGTCACTACTGTGAACTCACAGGGCACTGCAAAATATTTTACATTTGAGGGGCACACAGTGATCCTCAAAGATACCAAGCACATGACTAACTCGGGTGTTCTCACAGTTTTGATATTAGATGGCACTACATCCTCACAATGACAACTTCTGTCGCAAAGCTGGGTTTTCAGCGGTGCTGGGATTAAAAGCAAACATCCACAGGGAACAGGAAGAGACCAGCGGTGCCCAAGGGGGTCCCCAGGTTTGCGAAGCTTGCAGCGCCCACAGGTGCACACATCCCATCGATGAGTAATTGTGGTTATTTCACAAAGAAATAAAAACACACTTCTTTCCATTTTTGCTTACTATTTCCTCAAATGCCTGCTGAGTTGTTAAGACCCAAATCTGTATGACGCTAACCTCTTCAATAAAACTGCAGAATTGTTTTAACCTATAAGCACCACGAACCAAGAAAGCGTACAAACCTCTGACCTAATTCATCCTCCCAGCAACCAAACAGGTACACATTATCCGCATTTCACGGCTATCTTGAGACCGAAAGAAACTCAAAATCCAGGTTCTGCTCGTCTGTGTCAAGGTCCAGGCTCAGTTCACTTCGATCACCAATGCGCCTTTGTTTCTCTTGTGGGCTTCCTTGTCACTTCTCCAAGTCACCTCTCCTGTACCTACTTAGGTAGGTGTTTTCTTCTCCAAACCTCCCTGCCCCCCACAGCTCACAGAGCTGAAAGTTCCCTCCCTGGCAGCAGAGGTCCCCAGACCTCCTCCCACAGAGCAAGGTGTAGCCGGCCCATTAGCACGGGACGGCCCGGTCTCCAAAACTCCAAGTTCTCTAAGAAATCTCCCACCTCCGTTACTCTGAGCATTCCACATGGCCTGGCCCAAACTGTTCTACCCCTTTCTTCCCCTCCTGTCTGTTGAGTCACTAGAATAAAGATACACTTCTGGTTTTCACCAGTAGCATTAATAAATCAAGACAAAAATGAGCCACAGAGAGACCAGGACTATTCCGAGTGTGGTCCCTCGCCCAGCAGCATCGACCCCACCTGGGAGCTTGTAGAAATGGAAATTCTGGGGCCGCACCCAGGCCTGCAGAATCCGAAACTCTGCGAAACGGGCCCAGGAGGCTGCGTCCTAACAAGCTGCACGGGCCTAACCTAATTCTGACCCCCAAGTCCCCATCCTCGGCTTCCAGGAGACACAGCCGGATCTGGAGGTGGGGCAAGAAGTAGGTTTACAGTTGTTCGCACAGAATAATCAAGAACTAACACCAGAATGAACTGTGTTTCACGTCACCCTACTTTGCCACACCCCGCATCTCCAGCGTCCCTTGCAGTGAGGACGCGGTCATGTGAGCTTCGCCAGCACAGTGTGAACAGATGCAGTGCAGGCCTGGCCCACAGCAGACACGCACGCACACGCACACTCCCGCTGTCACACACACAGGGGAATGGAGACGACCTACAGGGCCACTTGAGACCCCCACCATGGGTGTGACAAAGGCACCTGGGTCCCCAAGTCACCCCGCGGAAGGATCACCTGCCGAGCGCACCGACCTCGGACTGCTCAGCGAGTCGGAAAGTCGTTTCCTTAGGCCCCTGAGGTCAAGATCCCTGATAGCGGCCAGCCTTCCAGATTCACCAAAAATCCTTGCACCTGCTGTGCTCAGAGCCTTCTACTTAAATTTTGCTCCCACTCCCCTCTGCGGGACGAAAACCCAAGTCCTTGGCGAGAAGAACGAGGGTACTTTCTAAGCTGCCAGGGGTCAAATTACTTAAGTGCTGACCCCGCCTTCGTGGGGAGAAAATGACTCCAGCACCTGATGCCATCAGGACTGCAGCCCTGCAGAGGGCTCCTGGCGGGCGGGAGCACCCACAGCTGTGAGCCTCCCACGTTCAGGGAGGGAACGTGGCTCCAACTGTGGCACTGGATCCCCCTCCCCCACCCACAGAGCTATAGCCTCCCCCACTAGTAAACCCACCACCTTACACAGGGTAGGGGAGCAGACACTGAAGGGGAGACCTGGGCTGGCTTCCAGGGAAAGGCATACACTGTTGGTTAGAGAAAGGGCTTAATATCCTTCCCCCTACTGCTTCTACCAACTTCTCTATCGGGACCTGTCACCCGCCCTTCCCCCCCTCCCCCAGGCAGTGTCCCCAGGGCAAACAGCTAACCACGTATTCGCAAAGGGCATTATTCAGAAGCTGGCACGAAGAAACAAAATGAATGCTGCTGATATGTTTTCCAATAAGGATGACAGAATAACCAAGTGATGTCACATTATGCAGAATACGGGGACATACTAATGATTTTTCACATTAGCTATTTCCAACTGACATCTTAATTCTAACCTCCTGCCTGGGATGGGAAAAAAATGTATTTCCACTACTTCCTAAAATAGTTTAAATGCAAATGCACAGGTTTGAATCATGTGCACTAAGGAAGACCAGTCATTTTAAGTCCTCAAAATTAATACCATCCATTGTTCTTTTTTTTTTTTAAGTCCGTTTCATCAGAGATCAACATATTCAAGTTCTCCAAAAAGCTACCTCCTTGGAACTGCCAGTTTCCATAAGAGAGGGCCCTGCATCTCCAGGTGAGCCTGTAACACCTTGATCCCTGGGGTCTCCTCACCTCAGGACAGTTCACACTCCAACCCTTAAGAGTTTCTGGCTTGGAAGAGGAGGGTGCATCTTCCAGAATTTCTTTCATGATAACCAAAGTTCCTGGAGAGGAAGACGCTGGGTCCTGCCATCGAATCCACACACAGGTTCTAAGGCAACCTCGATCCCAGCCGAGCTTAAGTCTGCGATCCTTCAACCCGTGGACTTTGCGGCAGAGGCTGAGAAACGCAATGGCCATCTTTCATCTCTGTTACCTACTCCTCAATTCCGTGACCAGTCATCTACTCCTTTTCTAAAGACAGTTACAAACTCTATCATATTCGGAGGGGGCAGGGGAGAATCAGTAACAAATTGCAACTGGGCACAGTGTTCAGCATGGCCTCTGAAAGTCAGTGAGCTTGTGTCAGACAGGTAAGAGCTGTCCACACAGCACTAAGAAGGGCACCTGCTGCGGTTCACATCCCCTGGGGGGAAGAGACCACATTTGGTTTCCTGCAGGGCCGCGGCGCTGACAGCTCTATCTGGACGTCACAGCTTCCTTTCTAAATGGGAAAGAACCGTATTTCTAGATGAGGCTTCATTAACCCAAGCGAAATGGCTAGATAAAATCCTGAAACTTTCTTAAAGGGCTTTCCTTTTAGAGAAATGAATAAGACAATCCTAATCTCTAGCGTGCTCTTTTTAAATTAGTGTTGAGCTTTAGTATGCTACCTGACTGACGTGCAGGTGACCCGAACTGTGTACAGATAGCTTCTTTTATTTGCTCTGTGCACAAACCAATGGACGTGCTGGAGCAAGGACAGGATGAGGAGAGAAATCAAACCC